GGGGGCGGGGGCGGGAAGCGGCTGTCGGCGGCTGCCCGGCGCCCATGGGGACAGTGCTGGGCGCATTGGGGTTGTGCTGGGGGGCGACCCAGCCCGGCCTCGCGGGTGCCCTTCGACAGAGGTACTGCCTGCCGCGATATTTCGTGCATCTTCTTGGAGAGGCTCAAAAACCGCTGGGCTTCCCCCGAGGCCAGCAAGCTGCGCAGGAGCAGGGTGCGTGCGGGCAGAGGGCCCTGAGCCCTGGCTGGAGCTCAGTGCTCCCAGCCGACCCAGGTCCCCAGGGTTCATCCCTGCTGTTTTTGTTGCCTTTAACTGGAAGCTGTGTCGCCTTGGCAGCATCAAATAGCCCTGCACGGGTGGCAGCGTTGTTGGGATCACGGAGGCCTGGAAAATGGCAAATACCATCCTAATATTTGCACTGCAAACAAAGCAGGAGCAGTGCTTATTTTGATAAGAGCAGCTGGGGTCCTCTGCCAGGTCTCTGCCACCCGGGAAGTCCCGGGCGGCACACACAGCGTTGGTCACGCTGCCCCTGGCGCGAGCACCGGGGCACAGCCGCCAGCCCCGTCCCTCCGTGTCCCTCGCAGCCCCCGGGAGAGCGCGGGGCTTATGTGGATGGCAGCATGTCTCTCGTGACTCACCCTCGAGCTTGCAAGCTGGGATTTGTTGGTGTTTAACTCCGGCTCATTGGGGCTAGTTTTCTCCCGTTCACATTATTTATGCCTCATGTTATCAGTTCCTGAATATCTGCATCAGAGATGTTTGTATAAGCTCCTCATGAGATACCAGCATGTCTCATGGTAACCAGTTCCTGAACAGCTGCTCTTCCTGTCGGACGGGTTTGTCTGACTTCCTCCTGGGATGGTCAAAGGTGGTGGAATGTGACTTGTCTCTGAGGCCAAAAGGAGTTTCTGCGCCGAGACCCAGAGATGCCCATGGCTTGTTCCTGGTGTGTCAGGCTGCAAGATTTACGTGTCCTCGAGCGCTGACAAGCAGGCCGCCATTTGAGGTGACATGCCTGATCTCCCTGACTAACACAGGACGGTGAATCCCCAGTCCCAACTCTTGGTGGCTCCGGGTCCCTTAGGGAGCTCAAGTGTGGTGGTGATGCTGGGCTGTGCCTGGCACAGCCATGGTTTTAGCCTTTCATGACAAGCCTTTGCATGCTTCACTCTCCAACCCCTTTGCAGGGACCACAGACGCAGATGTGACAGTGAAGGTGTCCTCATCTTTCTCTGCCTTCTCGAGACCCATGGAGACCTCAACGCTTCCGTCCACCGCTGCCTCCACCAGCGCAACCACCACTCCCTTCAGCCCCGAAACAGGAACCTCCACCCCAGAGAAGAGGTCCAGCACACCACTGCACGCCTTCACAGCCAGCACTGCGACTACTTGCAACAGCAGCCCCGCAGCCTCTAATGTCACCTCACCGGCTGAGAGCACGACCCACAGCTCTGCCAGTTTGCCTGCTGGCACCACCACGGTCCAGATAGTCCCCATCACCACAGGAAGGGGGACCACCACTGATGCCCGGTCTCCAACCACTGCAGCCGTGACGTCCACTCGTGTCGAGATGACAGTCAGCACGTCCATGGGGACCAGCACGGCTTCGGGTGTCAGTTTGACCAGAGGCGACACAAGCACGGTGCCTCCCTCCACCTCCTCTGTTCTTTCTTCCACCATGGAGGGCACCACGCTTGCCACGAGCACCTACGAAGGGCCAACCACAACCACGCTGCTTCGCAGCACATCCCAGGAGACCAGCAGTGCGTCTCCCTCTACGACCACTCCTCCTATCACGACAGAAGAGACAATCACTTCAGCTGGGTCCTCAGCATCGCTGGAGGACACCACAACTGTCTCCATCACCAGCACAGTGGTCTCAGAGAGCACCCCCACTGCCACCCAGTCGGAGACTACAGCTGGGACCACCCCTGATATCTCCACCCCGACCTCAGGGACAGCCCCGGACACCACAACAGTGCCTCAAACCTCAAGTGCAGCGTCAAGTGAGTACAACTGAGGGGGTGCTCAGAGACTGGGGAAACGCCTGGGGTTAGACGAAGCCCTCCGGGATCTCCAGTCCTGCTCCTGATGGGTACCCAATTACTTCATCCTGGGCCCCGTCTACCATGTGTCTGCCTGAGGTGGGCATAGCCTGCACCCATGTCCCGTACTGCTGGCACTGGGATATTTGCCAGTTCTCTGTTAGCATCTGGGCACTGAAGAGTCCTGGTGCAACTCAAGTGCTACAGCTCCCCAATGTGAGTGGATCGTGCACCACATGCTGGTACACTGCAGACCAAGCGATGGTACCATATATCTGGTGGATGTAGAATGCCTGAGTCCCTGGTAGATACAGCTTGCTGGGGAAATGCAGTCTTACAAAAGCCCTGCAGAAAAATTTGTGTGATCTTATTGCAATAGAAGCAGTCATCAGCTGGGAAAATATAACGCGCAGTTTGCTGGTACGTACTTGGGTGTTACATGTAGGGAGTACTTCGCTACAGCCAGTGGTTTCCCCTCCGCAGGGCAGAATTTGCAGCCCCAGGTAAGGGGGGTGAGGGCTGAGGTACGAAGGAAGAGCCCAAGAGCTGTGGTGTGGATTTAAAAATCATCCTCACATCAGGCTATGGGAGACTTTTCCACAGTGTATACGGGCAGCGTGCTGCAGTCTGTCTCCCGACCCATTTGTATGGAGCTGTCAGCTTTATTGCAGCAGTGACATGGGTATGTGCCTGGAAAGGTGTGGGAACATGTTTGCTTGTGGTCCCTTAACCTCTCTGCCAGGAGGGGCTGGACCCAGCTCCTTCCACCTCGGAGCACAGCCTGCCCCACGGAGTTAACCCCTCCGAGTGCTGAGCAGTCGTTGGCTCTTACCTGGGGGAACCGACCACTGCCTTTGCACAGTCCCAGGCCTCAGAGCAATGCCAGCACTTCAGGAAACGGGAACCTGGCAGCAGGGGAGGCCTTATTTTTAGCCTAGTCCTTTCCCAGCTGTAGAAACTGTGAGAGCATCTTGCATCTTCGCAGGCACCTCTAATGTAACCTCACTTTACCCATCCGCAGAGTCGTCTTCCCCTGCCACTGACTCAACCCAGAGTTCAGAGGTTACCATCAGCACCACTGCAGACCAGCCAACGACACCGCTTGTCTGCCCCAGTGCCGCGACAAACACCAGTGAGTGTAGCCCCTTCTTGCCTCCTGGGACCCCAAACCCTTCTCCAGCTGGGCTGATAGAGTGGTGTGTCCCCCGCTGTGCCATGGGCATTGCCATTGCCTCAGCACTGCAGTAGCCTTTGGGCTTCCCAGAGGCTAGTGCAGAGGTCCCCAGGCTGGCCTGCAGAGCTGGGAAAAGCTGCCTACTCCGGGGAGCCCAGTGCTTTTGCTGTGCTCTTGATACAGAGATGTTGACAGTCTGTGAGATGTGTGGTGGTCCCTTGGGAACACACAAGATGGGCACCAGCCTGCAACTCAGGTCTGAAAAGATCTGCCAACGCTGAACCAGGGAAGGGAGACACCTTCTGTATCCCCTCCCTCTGCACGCATATCTCAGGCTCTCTCCTGCTGCCAGCGGAGACGGACAAAAGAGCAATGCCTGTTTTCCCAGCTGTGTTGTAGGTGGAGAGCAGCAGCCCTGTTTTCTGTACACAAAGAGGCTTATTCACCTGCCAGTGTGTGGGGGGGGGGGGTGGGGGGGGGGGGGGGTCCATGACATGACCAACCTGTAGTCTGAGAGAAGGTCCTGTGCATCCCAGTGACATTACTGGATTAGGGAGCTGGCATGCTTCCTTACCGCCCTCTGCTCTCTCCTATGCTTTGTTGCATAGCCTTGGGCAAGCCATTTAATCTCTCTGTACTTCCCTGTACAATATGGACGGTAAGAAATCCCAGGTGGGGACAGGGACTGTTTCCTATGAGCTGACACAGCTCTGGATGCAGGGTGCTGCAATCCCAGGGAGAGAGCTCCAGCTCCTGCCACAATGCAACTGAAGGGTCAGTAGGGATAACAAAAGCCATGTTTTCTGTTCCTAGGTGCATCTCACCTCTTTCTGTCAATGCGCCTAACTTTTCCCCTGGACCTTGAAAACTCCATGGCTCAGGAGCTGATTTTGTCCAAGGTGAGGCCTCCTAGAAGTGCACTGGAGAGGGGGTGACAGTTTGCGTGTGCCAGCCAAGGTCTGGTAAACTGGGGAAGGAGTCAGACAGCCAGAGCAGAGAGAATGACTATATCTTGCATAGAATTTTACCCTGGGCCCTTTCAAGTGAAAGAAATTCTCCTCCACCTGGGCTGGTCCAGGCTCCTGGTGGGGAGTGGCTGCTGGGGAGCCCTTCCTGAGCTGTTTTTAACTACTGCGTGAGTTTCATGGCTGTCCTCTCCCTCCAGCTCCGTGGGGATCTGCAGACCGCGTTCCCGTGTGCTGGCTTCACAGTGCAGTGGAGAGGGAAGAGGAGGACCTGAACGCTCTCCTCCCAGCCTGAGGACCTGCTGGGCAGCGACCTGAGTAAATTTGCAAGCCTTCTGCTCTCAATTCCTTATTCCGTGTTGGTGTAGCTCTCCAGGGTAGCCTATGCAGCTCCTGTTGAACACCCCCCCCCCCCATTCCTACCCTTCCCCCTGACAAGGACCACCAGTGTGCCCTGCACCCCGTTGTTCTCCTGGGCTGGGGTTGTCCATGCACTTCCCAAAGTCTGTCTGCATCTTGCCCCATGCTGCAGAGTTCAAGCCCTACCATGGCCTTGCACCAGTTCTGATGCCCTCACTTGGGCCCTTCTGCTGTCTCCTGGCTCTCTTGGGGGGCTGGAAGGAAAGACAGGCTGCCCATGAGAGCCTACAAGGGCTGGGCTTTCATGGCTGGGAAGGCAATGAGAGATGGCTGAGTCATAAAAGCCACCCTTGGGGCTGAAAGGAGATCTGGAGACCCTGCTCCTGGGCTAGTTAACACTGGTAAGTGGCAGGTCTTTATGTCCAGAGCTTAGTCTGTTGGTACTAGTGACCTCCAAGGCTTCGCAGCCTGGAGACGCTGCACTACCAGAGCCCTTGGAGAGTCGCTGCTAGATGGGAAGACGCCTTGGAGCCACTTTGTGTCCACAGCGGGGCCAGGATAGAGTCCTGGGGTGGCTCTGGGAATGAGGCAGAAGAGGAAATGAGCCCCCTTTTTCCAGCTGAGCATAGTCCTGGGGCCAGCCATGCTCTTCAGCCCTTCATCCTGGAGGGTGAGTGAAACTGAAGCCTGTCCAGTCTCCCCCCAGGCCTGCCTGCGATACTGCTAATGTAGCTGCACACCCACACCGACGCAGGCAGGGCAGTAAAGATAAATCCCACCTTTTTCCATGGCAAAGATGATGACTTCTTTTTTTCCAGGATGCCTTCCTGGATTTTTGGTTTCACTCTCTAGCAGAGGTGCCATGGAGGAAAACCAACTGCATCCAACTGGAAACCAACTGGATCTGATTACTCCTTAGGAACCAGCCACCAGCTAGGACGAGTTCCTGCACAACCAGACCTTTATTTATGTGCTTCCTTCTCTGAAATAAACGATGGGCTGGGGGAATTGCTTTCGCAGTTTCCCCAAATGGAGCAAGTGATTTTCTCACCCAATTGCAGAACTCAAGTGTGTTCAGGGAGGTGGGGGGGGGGCCCGGTGGGCTGGTAGCTGTGGAAATAGGAAAAGCCTTTCCATAGACGGAGCCCAGCTTTGAACATCCAGCATCTGAACAGGCCTGGGGGCTTGTGGCACCCCCTCTGCTTTGCTGCTCTCTGGCCCATTACGCCCTCGCTGCCACTGGTGCAGCTGTGTGCACAGTGGGGCCGTGGAAACCCTATGGACTGTGGTCCTTCCCTTGTTTTTTTCCAGTCCCCAGCTAAGGAGACGGCTGTAGTGTCCATCCCCCTTCAGCAAAGTCACTTATTAACTGATTAATTGGGCAGATAAAATCAAACTAAAGCACTTATTAGCCTAAGCAAGTCACCTCGTGGGGAGATTGAAAACTGAAATAATGAGCAAAATAACTATGTTGTTCTTAGGGGTTATTTTTCGCTGATTCCTCTCTGCAGCCTTGATTCTGGCTTACAGTCTGTGATGCCCCGGGAAAGGAAAGGGCTGGTGGTGAGAGCAGGTGGGAGGTGCCGACCCCAGCTGAGATGGTGCATGTGGGTGGCTGCGGGAAGGTGATCACGGGAAGCCAAACTCAGGGACTGCTTAATTCCCCCCAGGCTGTCATATGGCCAGTGCAATAAGATGGGCAAAGGTGCTTTGAAACCATCCCACCTTCTGCCAGCTCCTGGAGGCCCAGGCAAGGCAGAAGCGGCTCAGCTGGGTCTGGAGGAGGGGGCTGAGCCCAGACGGCTTGTCCTGACCCTCTGATTTGGGCAGGATCTGCTCCTCCATTCTGCTGCTGGCCCTCATGCTCTCCGGTCAGTAAGAGCTGCAGTGCTGTTCCCCACGTCCCCATGCAGGCCAGTATGTGCATGGGGATGTAAAGGCACATCCTCCCGTGGTCGTTTAGGGAACCTGCTGCTGGCATGCCGCATCCTTCTCTTCCTTGTGGGTTGCCCATCACCCAGGGCAAGGGGACAGCTTGTTCCTCCCTGTCATCTGGCCAGTGGCAAGAAGCTGCTTGGGAGCCATCGGTAGGCTGCCTCGGGGGTCATGCGTAGATGTGTTGCTTGCCACCAGTCCCTGCACCTTTGCGGGCCACTGGGCAAGGCTTTTTCCTCAGGAATTTATCCAGTTCTGGGAGATGCATCCACCTCCCCCTCAGGAAAGGTGGAGAGAACGGCCAGCCCCATATCCCAGATGCCCTTTGCATCCCATTACTCTAGGACTTTGCCTGGCTTTTTGGAGCTGTTGCCGTGGCTGTTGGCACCAAGGCACAATAGGTCCCTGAGATCCTGGAGCGCCCAACCGTGGTGCCCGAGCAGCTGGGGAAAAGGCTGCTAGAAGGGGTGTGTTCACCGGATGCCTGCTGGGGTGCTGGGAAATGATCCTCGTGATCGGCCTACGCCGTGGAGTGAGGCCAAGAGTCCTCCCACGCCAAGTCCCACCGGGCTGATTTCTCCGGCTGCTGAATCCATAACTTCAGACCCCAGGACATGGAATGGGGCCAAGGCTGGGATAATGGAGCCAAAGTGCGTCACAAAGGGAGGAAAAGGTCTTGAAGTGCTGGGATGAAAAGGTGACTGGGGCACTTACTATCCCCAGCTGGCACAGCATCCTTCCACTGTTGTGGTGATGAAGGGGTGACAAGACAAGAGATGCTCCTGTCTCGGTGAGTCCTTCCACCCCTGGAGCTGGGATGGAGAATGGACGTGACTCCAACAGGGTGCCAGGCACCGCTGTGGCCAACACCTGCCCAGCATGGCCAAATGTCCATGGTCTCTGTGCTGGCCATCCCAGGGGAAGCTGGACGCCTACACGCCCCACAGTTGCTTGCGTCTCACTTCACGGACATCTGGCTCCTTTAGGGGTCAGATCCGGGTACCATGGTAATCCTGAGCACAGGAATCGCCCAGCAAAGCTGTACCCCTGCCAGAGACCCTGCTCCTGGCTGGGGGGCTGCGGGTGATGGGAACACATGGGTGCCCTTGGTGCCCTTCCCTGGTGAGTTGCTACCAGCTGCAGCATGCAGCTGGTCCCAGTTTGGATTGCCCTGGCCTCTGCATCTGGGCATGGATGTCTTTTCGGGTTTCTTCCTCCACGTTAAGGGAGGCCTCTCATGCCTTCCCAGGAGGATGGGCTTTGGCTGTAATCAGGTCTCTGTAATGAACTAAACAGACGGAGCCCACTAAACAGGGAGATCCCTCACAGCCAGGGGCTTTTCCAACCCTTAAATCATTTATCAGCCTCTTTGCTGTAACCCAGCTAGCAGCACTGTCCCTAGGAGCAGGCCTGCTCCCTTTTGGTGCTCCTGGCTCTACTGTGCCCAGAGGGAAAATCGCCCTTGGAGCGCCCAGCAGTGCGGCTGCTGTGGCGTCATGGGGCCGCTTGCTGAATCACTGGCCCCTTGTGACTCAGGTGTCCCTTTCAGCGTCACCCTCCCCTTCACCCCCGACTGGTGGCTATGGCTGAGCTCCTGCTATCTGCCTGTCTTTCCGGGGGGCATTGCAATGCGCCTGGCTTACCAAGTGATCCGGAACCAGCAGGGTTGATGGATAACCTGGTCCCCCCCCTTCTTGAAATGCCCTTGTTGGGACACCGGAGCAGTCCCAGTGAGAGATGCTGTAATCTCCGCAGGGCTGGAACAACCAGACCATTAATCCCAGGAACGCCGATAAGGCACTGCGTGCGGGGCCTGCCCACCTCCTGCACCTGCTGGGGCTGCCGCGTCAGGCCCAGCAGGATGTTGTGTCCTGGGATCTGCCACCTCGCTTCTCCCCAGATTTGGGCTGCCAAAGGAAAGTGTCTGCTCCCGTCTGCAAAGCCAGCCTTTCTCTGGCTTGTTCTCCCAGATGGTTTTGGTCTGAGAGGACTCTGCTGACAACATCCTGAAATCAGGCTCTTCCTATAGCGCTCAAGCCTGCTCTCTCCCTCCTTTCCCAGCTCCAGCATCCATCCTGTGCTGAGCCCCCTCAGGCCGATTTGCCTGTGGTTGCCACCCAGTGCCCTGCGGAGCGGCCCGGAGAAATCCCAGTCCCTCTGGCTGGCCTCTGCCACATCGCTGCCACAGGGAGGGTGCCTCAGCCAGCCGTGGACCACAGCTACAATCCTTGCAGGAGCTGACGGCTCGCTGGGGACCTTCGTTGCAGGCATCGCAGAAGGATCAATGAAAAGACCCTTTACCGAGTGGGAATGGGGCACCACTCTCGTGACAGGGGATGATCAGCCCTGCTGTCATGGGGCTTTGGGCTTTCCTAGTGCTGCTGGTGTACAGGCAGGAGCTTGGCTTGTCACCCAGTCAGCGCAGATACTCTGAGGGCCAACCACAGCTAGAGGAGCATCAGGGAGATGGGTTTTTGGGGGGCAGCACCAGCTGGAGGAGCAGACGTGACGGACTCCTGAAGGTGTCGGTCCTAGTGCACTGCGGGGATGGCTGTCGCCTTTGCCGTCTCTGACTTGGCAGCCCCTTGCCAAAGCGACCGACCAGGCCGGGTATCACTGCTCTGAAGGGAAATGTGACAGCAAAGCCCCAAAGGGTGGCAAAACCCCAGGCAGAGGATGGGCCATGGGAGCACTAGTGATGCTGTGCTGGCCCAGGGAGCCCCACTGTCGGCCCTGATGCTGCTGGGAAGGGCTGATGGCTCTGCAGCAGAACCCGGGGCACAGGGAGCCGCCGCCGAGCCCAGGGCTGGGTGTCAGGCTGTGGGGTAGGAGCTTACAAGAGGTATGATAGTAAGGCGGGTTGGAAGTCCTCGTTTCAACTGCGCTACTTCACCCTACACCAAGCAGAGTGTTTGCAATGATACACGTGGTTCCCGCTGCATTATGTGCCTCAAACACTCGCTGGTGCAACTCTCTCCTGCCACAAGCACTTATTCCCCTCTGGGATGGCACAGGACTTTCCAAAACAACACGGCGTCATCAGCACCAGCTGAAGATGTGGTGGTACAAGACGGTTTGGATCCCTCTAAGCTCTGCCAGCCCAGGTGTGACAGCTGCCCGGACGGTCACTGGTTCGGTATGACTCTGTTGTCTGCAGCGCCGGCTGCCCGGGTCCCTGCCACGCCATCCTCCCCTGCGTTGCCACTGCGTTGCTGTTATCGGTGGGCGTTCGTTCCGGGTGAGCGGCGCTCTCCCCTGATTTATGGTCTGTGCCCTGTTCCCGGGCTGCTGCGCTGGGGGGGATGCGTGGGTTTATACGACAGCTTTTGTCGGCCGTGACTTGGCTTCCCTTGGCATTTCCCCCGTGAAGGCTGCCTGTCTGGGGGTGGCCAGCTGGGGGACGTGTCGCTTGGTGTGCCATGACTCGATTGCCCGCTTAGTAAAGGCAGGCGCCGGCGGGACATTGTGTACTACCCAGCTCTGGGGTTACAACACCTCTAATAACACTTTGCAGGCGTCGCTTGGGGCATTTCTGCTTAAGAAGCATTTAATTGATTACAAAAACATGTAAGGGTGGGTGTCTGCATAATGCTTTTCACTGGGGGAGCTCAAAGGACTTTACAGGAAGGGAGCAAGAATTGCTATGGCTGAGGAAAGGGGGGGATGGAGACAAATAGGGGTGAGGTCAGCCAGGAGCTGAGCCTGCAGCAGGAGAAGAGGGGCCAGGACAGGGCCTTTTCCTGCTCTAATCGCTGGGGAAACTGGTCTCACCTTGTAGTGGAGCTTCACTGGCCAGCTCACCCTCCCCTGGTACCCCCAGCCCTCCTGCACCCGTCTGGGGCCGAGGTGTTCAACTCTGCTGGGCCATGCTGGATGTCTGCACTGGGACCCCCACTGCTCCCAGTGGTGGTTGAGGGGTGGGTGGCTTGGTTGATGCCCCAAGGCCTCCTGCCAGCCCTGCCTCTCCTGGTGTGCAAACCCTCCTGAGCCCCTGGGAGAGCTTTGATCCTAGTGGGAACTGCCTTGCGCCGGGACAAGACCCCACTCAGTAGCGGATCTCAAAGCCCATGGTGTCCCCGCGAACACTGTAGCACGGGCTGCCCTTCCGGCTCGCCCAGGTCCGGGCGGGCCCCAGGCGGCTCTGGTGAGGCTGTTGTGTGGCTGCTGGCAGTGTCGCGGCGCGTGGGCAAACCCGAGGTCGTGTCCTGGCTGAACGGGGCCGTTCCTCTGTATGGCCCCCCTACCCGGCTCCTGGGGAGGGAGCAGGGTTTCGTGGGGAGGCGTGCAGTGCCCCTGCCAGCCCTCGGCGGGGGGAAGGATTTTGCAGGAGGGGAAGGGTGCCAGGGATGTGGAGAGAAAGCACAGGGGGAGGGAGGGCACAGTGGCTGCTACCTGCCTCCCTTAGTCATCCCTATAAATAGGAGGGCCTGGGAGCAGGACTGCACCTGTGGGACTCTGGCAGGAGGACAGGGACAGGGCTGCCCTTGCTGCCCTCCCAGCCTGAGAGGGGGTCAGTGGCATGGGGACCAGGGGATGGATGCTGCGGACCTTTGTGGGATGCTGCCTGTGGATTTTGCATGGTATGTCCTCTCTCTCCCTGCTAGCACCTGAGCTCTCCCAAACCTCTAGTGTTCCCTGACCCAGCAGGTAAGGTTGTGAGCTGCTGCTTCATCTTGGCTATGTTGGAAGCTTTTCCTATGACCAGTGCTTGCAATATGCTTCAGCAAAAAAGCTAGGGAAATGTTTCACAGACAGGTATCACCTCGGCTTTGCAGAGGGCTGCAGTAGCTGTGGGGCTGGTTGCAGGCTGCACCATCCCATGGGAGAGGTGAGACACAAACCTGGGGAGCCTGTGTGCTGCCATACACCCCTCCAGGAAGGAAATCAAATGGTCACCTGACAAACTGGGGCTGCCAGACACCAGAGGTGCTCTTGTCTCCCCTGTACCCTGGGGAAGAGCAAGCACTGGTGCTTGGTGCAAGGCTCCTCTTGCACAAGCTTCCTGTGAATCTGCTGCTCAGGTCACTGGCCTGCAGGGTGGATGGTGTTTCCTGCTGCACATGGAAGAGTTAAGAAAAAGCATGGATTTATAGGGGTGGAGCATGTCAGGCTTACCTGGGGGGACTTGACTGACTCACTTTCCTTTCTTTGAGACAAGAAGGGAAGCAGCTGATCTCTAGCTGATAGGAAAGTGCTGGTTGTTGCAAAAGCCTTAGTTCAGCAAGCAAAGACAGGAGAAGTGCAGGCGGGGTAAGGGGAGGAAATGGCCTGGTGGAAGGGGAAGCAGGGGAGGAGGATGGATCCCTCAAGGATTGGTCTGGGATAGGAGATAATTTTCATTAATGACTTTGCCACAAAGCTACCCACAGGCTAACAAGCTGGGCTGGCAGTGAGGTCAGAGGCATCCCGATTGCATGGGGGATCTGCCTATCTCACGTGGGGAACCTGATAAGCTGGAGCACCAACATGAGAAACAGGCTCAGGCTGTAGGGTTGGTGCTGAGGGCACTGTTCCGCCCTCAGGGTAGACTTTGTCTCCCCTAATTGCAGCTGCCTAAAGCCAAGTGTCAGCAGATCTTCCAGGCCCCTCCTGCAGCTAGCAGAGATGCCTTGGCCTCTCCAGGGGTTGCAGCCCCATCCTAAAAGGAGGCTGAGAGCTGCTCAATATTTCCTACAAGGGTACCAAACTCCTCGGCTGCTGCTGATAGCACTAAATGTTAGTCCACCCTGGGGTTATGTGGGACCTGGGCAGGAGCACACAGGCTCAGACCCCAGGAGAGGATTAATGAACCTGGTTTAATTGCAATGAGTCAGAAGCCATTTGCCCTTAATAAATGTTTCACTAAACTATGATTTCTTACCTGCCAAAGAGCTTTAAGGAAAATGTATTTTAACATATTCCAGACGCCCAGAAGGTGAAAAACGTAAGAACTGGAGAGGCTCTGCAGAAGCAGGTACACTCTGGGCTGTCCCTGCAAAAAGGATAGAGTGCCAAGGGCTGTCCTAAGAATGCACTTTGGAACACTCTTGGGGATATGAACTAGACTTAGCAGTTCACAGCTCTTCTGAGGTGACTGCCAGGCAGTACCATCCCTTCACAGTGTATCTGGGTTGGGCTGTAGTGTCCTGTGGTATCAAGCACACCGCAGCCCCTTGTGCCTGTGCATACACAAGTGTTTTTCCCTGACCTGGGATGAACAGTGTCCTGTCTTGGCTGACTGCTGTTAACGTGTCAGGATGCAAAATGTTGCAGAACTGCCATGCCATCTCTAACCTGCTGCATACACGACAACCTGGATCATGCTTCTTATATCTTAAACCAGACAGTGCATTATAAGGCAGCAGCAAGAGAAAATAGGGCTTGAAGTCCCCTGCTTTTAGGCAGCTAAATGGGAGGTTAGCTGTTTCCCCAGCCCTCCCAAGAAGAGACAGGCCTAGGCTGCAGCTCGGCTGCTGGGGAATGGAGCAAGGTGCAAATAACCTGCCCCAGCTGTGTCCCTGCCCTGAGGGTTTAGCAGCTCTCTGGGAGGATGCCCAGAGATGCTGCTGTTGTAGGAATTGTGGCCAGGTGCTCCCAATTTAAGAGCTCAACCCCTTGTCACGAAATGAAGGAACAAAATCAGCTTCAAGCCTTCCTCTAGAAGGAGAAGTTCCCTTTTGTGTATGCGCAAACCCTTTCCCCGGCACACGGCTGACCCCCACGCCTGCACGCTCCAGGCCTCCTTCTCATGCATTCAGCCCTGTTCCCCTTTTCTCATCCCTGCCACGCCATGGTCTTCCTCGTGCTTGCCCACCCCCCTGCCTGTGCCTCTGCTCATGCCAAAGCTGTTCCTTCCCTCTGCCCCCTAGTCCCTTCCCCTCTGCCTCCTCATATGTTTCCACAGCAAAGCACAACTGTCTCACCCCCTTCCTGCTCTTCAGCACCTCCAAGTTGCCCTGCTCAGCTCAGGGCTGGATTAGGGCTGGCACCTGGTTGCTTTTGGGCTGTGTGAGGAATGCAACAGCAGTCAGGCTGGCCCCAAACCCATGCGTGGGATGCCCTGTCTCCTTGCTGGCGTCCCCAATGGCTGCCCCTTGGGCAGGCGCCCGGGTTGACATAGCTGGAGGGATGAGCCGGGCTGAGCATGCCAGGCCAACTGCTCCTTAACCTGGCTCCGCTCTGTGTTTCTCTCTGCAGGGCTCGGTGCTGCCGTTGCAGTCCCTGTCACCACGCCTTTTGGGGTGCACACAGCTTTTCCTTCCACTGCAGAGAGCCAAGTGCCCAATGCCCTGGTGCAGGGGACGGCAGAGACGAGCACTGTGGCGGCCCTGCTGCCCGGCACTGCAGCCAATGCTGAAATCGCCACCTCACTGGCAGACAGCATCCTTGCTGGAGGCCCTACAAGCCCTTCCTTCCCCACTGGGGCAGAGCCAAGCGAATACAGCCCCCGCTCAGCAGCGGGGAGGGATGCTGAAGCTGGTCCGTCACCTCTAGAGCCAGAGCTGAGCCCAGGGGAAGAAACACAGGTGCCTGCTGGAGATACCCAAGTTTTGACAAATGTGACCAAGTCTCCTAACGTGTCTCAGGAAAATGAGAGGGGTTTGGATGCTCCAGCCACAGACATTGCCTCATTTTCCACGCACCAGACCCTTTTCTCCCCAAATCCGGAGCCTGATGTTACAGGAGCTGCTCCTGACGCGTCCCTTGGGGCTACCCCTGTCTCCCCACTCTTTGTGGATGCCAGTAACAACTTCTCGGCGTCTCTGACAAGAGGAGGGGCAGAGCATTTAGAGCCCGCTGCTGATGCTATGTCCGTCCCAACCTTCCCTTCTCTGTCAGTTGGGGAGGCACAGCCAACCACTGGGGCCACTGGGGACCAGGCTGCCAACAGTGCCTTGGGTCCTGGGGTCACCATGCCGCTGAGCAGAAGACTGGACACAGCCACTGTGGGAGCAAGCGAGAAAGGCGTAACCTTCGCTGCAGATTTCCAAAGCAGAGCGAGTGCCCCCTCCTTGAGCCCAAACCCTGGGGCTGGGCAGCTGCTCACAACACAGCAGGATGAACAGGCAAGTGAGGCCAGCGGTGTCATCTGGGAGCTGGCAGGAGAAGCAGCCCCGCCTGTTGAGGAAAGTCCCACTCCTTTAGAGGCTGGAAATGCAGGAGATGCAATAGATGCTTTTGGTGCACCTGACTTGTCCCGTCTGCCTCTGGGGAACGCGACAGCGTCGGGGGCAGTGGGAAAGCCGGAGGAAGCCTCCCGCCTCGCTGGCGAGGCAGGGCTGAGCCCAGCTGCTTTGCTAGGACCTGGTGGGGGTGAACAGGGATCTCCAGGGGTGAATTCAGACAGCTCTAACTCGACTCCATCTCCTGCAGCCGGTGAGGCGCTCATAGCACCTGCAGAGCCTGATGTGCAAACTGCTGCAACTTCCCCTGCCACCGTGCTGCTCCCAGCGCGCACAGGGCTGCTGCTCACGGGGACCACGGCTCCGGCTGAGCCTTCCCTGCACTCTGCCCTATGGGATGCCACCACCAGTGATCTGCCATTCCCTGTGGACATCCTCGATAGGCCCTTGGCCTCCGTTACCTCTCCCAGTGCTCCTGGCTCTCCTGGGCTGGCCCCAGGTGCCGTGGCCGGCACCCTTTCTGGGGCGGAAGATGGGGCAGAGATGCCAGTGAGCCCCAAACTCGGTGCTCCAGTGGCCCCATCCAGCGGAGGGTCAGAGCCACCGGGGACGGCGGGTGGTGCTCCTGAGGGCGCAGGGGTCCCTGCAGCTGATGGACCAGACGCTAGCTTCAATCCAGCATCGGATGCCTCCAGCCCAGCATCCCTTGGGCCTGTGGGACCCTCATTGCCCATCCCCGGCCACTGGCCGGGCACCGGCCCGGGGCTGCCAGCAGTGGAAGGGAGTGAAGCTGGTGCGGCAGAGCAGGCACTGGGTGGAGATGGCAGCACAGCTGGGGGTGAGCCGTCCCTGAGCTCTGCTCTGGACAACAGGACAGTGGCTGACGCAGACCAGCTGCCTGGTGCCGGGTCCCCATCTGGTCCTGCCTCTTCCAATGATGCCACTGCAACATCTTCCGTTTTGGAGACTGACGGAGCAGGAGCCACCCCAGAGGCAGCTCCTGGCCCTGACAGCCCTTCCCAGGCCTCTCCGGACAGCGAGGGCGACCCAGACCTCGCTGCATCTCCGAGGGCTGAGAACGCAGGGGACGAGGCACAGGCAGGAAATCCAGAGAGCCCAAGCCCCAATGTGGACGCCGGTCCTCCAGCTTTCAGCCCACAGCAGGATCCTGCGAACATAGGAGAGCTGTCAGCAGGAGAAACAGGAGCTTTGATGGATGCCAAGCTGTCCCATCCGTTGGCTCTTGGGGACGGAGCAGGAGTGGCTACAGCCCGGGGAGAAACATCCCCACCTGGTCCTGCAGCTCCTGGCGGCGCTGGCCTGGAGCCTGGCCTTGAGGTGTCTGCAGGACCAGAGGACTTGCCTGGTGAGTCCCCCAGGGCTCCTGGCTCTCCTGGGCTGGCCCCAGGTGCTGTGGCCGGCACCCTTTCTGGGGCGGAAGATGGGGCAGAGATGCCAGTGAGCCCCAAACTCGGTGCTCCAGTGGCCCCATCCAGCGGAGGGTCAGAGCCACAGGGGACGGCGGGTGGTGCTCCTGAGGGAGCAGGGCTCCCTGCAGCTGATGGACCAGACGCTAGCTTCAATCCAGCATCGGATGCCTCCAGCCCAGCATCCCTTGGGCCTGTGGGACCCTCATTGCCCATCCCCGGGCACTGGCCTGGCACCGGCCCGGGGCTGCCAGCAGTGGAAGGGAGTGAAGCTGGTGCGGCAGAGCAGGCACTGGGTGGAGATGGCAGCACAGCTGGGGGTGAGCCGTCCCTGAGCTCTGCTCTGGACAACAGGACAGTGGCTGACGCAGACCAGCTGCCTGGTGCCGGGTCCCCATCTGGTCCTGCCTCTTCCAATGATGCCACTGCAACATCTTCCGTTTTGGAGACTGACGGAGCAGGAGCCACCCCAGAGGCAGCTCCTGGCCCTGACAGCCCTTCCCAGGCCTCTCCGGACAGCGAGGGCGACCCAGACCTCGCTGCATCTCCGAGGGCTGAGAACGCAGGGGACGAGGCACAGGCAGGAAATCCAGAGAGCCCAAGCCCCAATGTGGACGCCGGTCCTCCAGCTTTCAGCCCACAGCAGGATCCTGCGAACATAGGAGAGCTGTCAGCAGGAGAAACAGGAGCTTTGATGGATGCCAAGCTGTCCCATCCGTTGGCTCTTGGGGACGGAGCAGGAGTGGCTACAGCCCTGGGAGAAACATCCCCACCTGGTCCTGCAGCTCCTGGCGGCGCTGGCCTGGAGCCTGGCCTTGAGGTGTCTGCAGGACCAGAGGACTTGCCTGGTGAGTCCCCCAGGGCTCCTGGCTCTCCTGGGCTGGCCCCAGGTGCTGTGGCCGGCACCCTTTCTGGGGCGGAAGATGGGGCAGAGATGCCAGTGAGCCCCAAACTCGGTGCTCCAGTGGCCCCATCCAGCGGAGGGTCAGAGCCACAGGGGACGGCGGGTGGTGCTCCTGAGGGAGCAGGGCTCCCTGCAGCTGATGGACCAGACGCTAGCTTCAATCCAGCATCGGATGCCTCCAGCCCAGCATCCCTTGGGCCTGTGGGACCCTCATTGCCCATCCCCGGGCACTGGCCTGGCACCGGCCCGGGGCTGCCAGCAGTGGAAGGGAGTGAAGCTGGTGCGGCAGAGCAGGCACTGGGTGGAGATGGCAGCACAGCTGGGGGTGAGCCGTCCCTGAGCTCTGCTCTGGACAACAGGACAGTGGCTGACGCAGACCAGCTGCCTGGTGC